TAGGAAGTTACCTTTATCCCAAGAGCAGTTTAGCCCCCCTACTATGTATACCTAGGCTGTGTTCTCTGCTGATGGCTGAGTTTTCAACAAAGATCTTCATTGGTTGTTGTGAACATTCCCATTTTCCGGACTTCTTGCAACCTTCAGATTTTAATTCTCAAGCCATTCTATTTCTAGCCTTGTGGAGTTCTACCCCATGATTGTGTGGCTTAAAATTTAGCAACAGAGTTACATAATCTCTATAGAAATTTACTGATATCTTTCTCCATTAAAATACCTTCTTCTGGGCCTCCCTGGTGGCGCAAGGGGTTGAGCGCAGAGCTGTGAAGCTGTTCAGACTGTGCAGTGCCAGTTCGATCCCCAGACAGGGAGCTACCCACATGGTGCAGCAGACTTCTCCTGGCTTGCCCGCTGCTCCCCTTCAGCAGTGTATTTCAGTAGATCTGCCTGTTCTGTTCCCCGCTGTGTCTCTGGTGCATCTTCTCACCTCCCCCACCTCTGGCCTGTACCCTAGTTCCTGTAATCATAAATAAATAAATCTTTAAAAAAAATACCTTCTTCTCCACCACTCTGTCCTTAAGTGTTGACTACCCTACCTGCAAGTATTCTTCTATTTGTCCCATAAACTCTGTAATACCACCATATTTTGCTTGGCACTCCTATTCTTGTAACACAGTCTGTTAAATGCTTATAGTCAGTAAAGCACTATAGGAGTAGTTGAACTATAGGAGTAGTTCATCTCAATTATTCTATAATGACCAAGAATTGAAATAACCACACTCTATTAAAAAGTAAAAATCTCTATAAAATACATCATTTGGGTCTTTTGACATGTTTAAAGGTCATTAATAATAAAAATACATTTTAGACATAAATGGAAAATGATGATAACTGGAAAAGTACTTAGTTAAAATAACTGACTACTACAGTTTTTCAAATTAATTTTCATAAGCACCAGTGTTATCATTAGATAATGACTTCTAAATTGTATTATTACTAAAATTCAAAAAAGGCAAAGGATAAATTCAGGTTAAAGTTATCTCTGCTTCTTTGATTTTTAAATAAGCGAAAACCCTCAAAATGTTTTTTCTTCCTTTTTAAAAATGTAATCACTGTATCAAAACCTACCTAAGTCTTTAGGTGCAATCACTTCTAACAAACACAAATAAGAATATTAAAATATTAAATAGACTTGTTGCATTATAAACTACTACATGGTTTGCAATCATATTTTAAATTTTCTTTTCCTTAATCTTCTATACTGAATTGGTCATTCAATTTAGTGTCTGTGGTCACCATGCAAATTCAGTTCAAAATAACTTGAGTACTTTATTTTTTTTTTTTATTTATTTATTTTATTTGTTTGTTTTGTTTTTTTGTTTATACAAGCACTGGGTACAGTCAGAAGCGCTGGAGGGTGAGAGAATTCACCAGAGCCAGAGCGGGGAGCAGAGCAGGCAGAAGGACCGAAGTACACTGCTGAGGGGAGCAGCGGGCGGCAGGAGAGGTCTGCGCGCCATGTGGGACCCTCCTCCGGTGGCCAGGGAGCAGCCGGGGATCGAACCGGCGCCGCGGAGGCTGCGGGCAGCCTCGCAACCCAGCGCTCAACCGCTGTGCCACCGGGGAGGCCCTAACTTGAGTACTTTAAATCAAATCTCACAATTAAATATTAATTTCCTCTAATTTTCCTGTTACTGGTCATATATTAATGATTGAATTGATCATTTCTTCAACCCTTCAACCTATCTTATTATAATAAGAAAGGTATTATTTGTTTACCAAATGCTGGATTTTCCTTTACCCAGATATTTAAATTTCTTTAAATCTTATTTGAGTAAATGGTACATGAGGATCTCAGATCTCTTAAATACTTATTGGTGGAATTTAATTCCTAGAAGTGAAACTATGAAAGTTTTTTTTTTTCTGATTAGCTAAGAAGTTTAATAAGAATCATTTTGTGGTTACCCACACATTCGTGTTCATTCTATCTTTTACAGACCAGCAGGTGGCAAACTTGAGATTTTTCAGATTACTGCTATCTAGAATACAAGTATTTCCCTTTAGTGTGATACATTGGTAGTCATTTATAAGTGAATATGATTTTGATTCCTTTTATGTACATATGATTTTCAGAATTTTTGGGTTTTGTACCAATGACAGAGAAATCAGGTAAGACTGATTTTATTCAGATACATGGTTAGGCTTTGGGTTTTGAAATAAACATATTTTCTAGCCACCACATTTGGAGGTAAAAATTTAGTCATAGTGGTCCTCCCTGGTGGCGCAGCGGTTGAGCGCTGGGTTGCGAAGCTGCCCGCAGCCTCTGCAGCGCCCGTTCCATCCCCGCCCACCGGGCAAGGATCCCACATGGTGCAAAGACCTCTCCTGCCGTCCTGCTGCTCCCCTCAGCAGTGTACTTCGTCAGTCTGCCTGTTCTGTTCCCCGCTCTGGCTCTGGTGAGTTCTCTCACCCTCCAGCGATTCTGACTGTACCCAGTGCTTGTATAAAGAAATAAAGAAATAAAGAAATCTTTAAAAGAAAAATTTAGTCATAGTACATAAATTACTTATTTCTTCTCTCTGAAATTCATCTATATTAACACTACCTACATATTATCTACAGTTTCCCTCTCTATAAATTTTACTCTTTCCTAAGTCTGTATTAATCAATCTAGGTGAACAGTTACTATAGCTCATTAGTTTCTACCTAATGGGGAAGAAGAATTTTGTTTTTCAAAAAAGCAGTGACTAAAGACAACCCAAAAGTTAAACAACATAGGTCCTTCATTTTTTATATTATATATATATAAATAGTTATATTGATATTATAGATAGAATATAAATAGTCATTTAGATGCCTTCTGCAAGGTTTAAATAAAATTGTGATTCATTATAGTAAAAAACTATTTGAGTGATTCTAACAAGTGGGTGTTTGGTGGACTGAGTTTTCAAGATGTGGAAAGTGAATTCACTATTTACTATAAATGAATTTCTCTCTAAATATCACAGTAACTGAAGACTTACAAGAACTAAAAATTTGAAATTCTTTCCTCCTTGCATTTTTATTTTTAAAGGAAATGGACTCAAATTTTTATATGTAGAATATAAAATATTTTCATAAGGAAAATAAACTATAGTGTGGAAGTAAAATTAAAACTATGAAACAAGCTCTGATTCAAAAGAAACTGAGACTGGCACTTATGCTACAGATTTTATATCACTCAATTTTTGTGTTCTCAGCATTGGGACTACAAACAAAAAGAAGTCTCTAATTACAGAGGTGCTTGAATTGTACTTAGTGCCTCTGTTCAGAGGTCAGGATGCCTTGGTCTTGAGCTAGGTGTCGTAATACAACCCACCTTTCACCTGTTTTCCTTCAGCCATCTCCAACTAGGGAACCCGTTTGTTGAGAAAGATACCCCAAGACCCCAAACCCCTTCCAATATCCTGTATCATGATGATTGTGATTTTTCATGATGTAAAATCAGGGACATAAAAGTGAAAACCAAACAAGGATTCTGAGAAGTCCAGAGTCCCTTGTACATCAAAGACTGCAACACAAAAATATATAAGCCAAACTTGGCCCCTGCCCTAGTGATTGTAACAAGGGCAGATGGTCATAAACAGTTGTGCAATGAGCCAGACTAAAAGAAGAATTCCTTTTCCAATGTAGTACTTAACTCTACACATCTCTTGATTTTGAGTGAGAACACAAGGTCCCAGGCATGCTCTATCTGACAATGCATCCCAGAACCTGTAACAGCACTACTGGGGGGTGGGGGGTGATGTTGGTGAAGAAAAGGGTCTGCTGGCTGGGTGAGACTCCTGGCCCCGAACAGTGCTGCTTCCTCCTTTTCCCTCTCCCCCTCCCCCACCTCAGTTCAGGAGCAGATTTGAATCTAGTTTTTCTAGAGAGAGTAGTTCCTTGGTAAGGTTTCCTCAGAATCCTAGTAAATTGGGGTCTGGCCTTTCTCCATCCCCTGCACTCTCTACTGTTCTTTGCCCAATGCCCCCCCCCCACTTACCCTGCTTCCTCCCTCACCCCTCCCCAAACCTGCATACACGCAGAAGAAAAGTTTTACACAGGATGAACCCCACATTGACGTAGACATCGCCCCCCCTGCTAGCTGGATAGATGCCCAGAAGGGAGTGAGTAGGGAGATGCGGAGGTAGGGACCGCTTGGATCCCTGTGGTTATTTAGGGTCCCCTCCCAGGCAACCCAGCCAAGTGCCAGCCAAGAGTATATGTTCTGGACACACCAATAGATGAAGCTTTTCCCTCCTCCATCAACCTCTTAAATCCCAATGAGGTCACTGCAATGAGAGAGAATCAGATCAAGAGAGGGGGGAGGAAGAGACGACCACGAGGCAGAAGAAACCCGGACGGAAAGAGGCCATCAGACAAGGTCGCTTTTCCTGGCGACACAGCTCCGGGGAGGAGCGTGGTGCTGAATACCAGCCGCCCGCTCAGCCCGGGGAACCAGGGACTCGCAGAAGCACTTTGTGTTACCACGAAAACAAAGAAGAGATGAGAGGGAGACGGAAAGAGAAGCTCTGAGCAGTTACGCTTTGAATCTCCCGGAAGCAAAGCTCATCCCCGTGCCTGGGAAAGCCAGGGGAGCTGGCAAGGGTCTGTCTGGGAGGCTGAGAGAGAGCGGGATTTCCCTGCGGAGACTTGGTACGCGGCAGAACTCTGGACAGCGCCTCTCCAGCGGGGCTCGCAGCTCCCTGGCTGCTCCAGGTTTCTGGCTCCTTAAAAGACCCACTACTGGTTTCCTCTCCTTTCCCGGACTCCAGCCGCCGACCCCAGGAGAATCATTTTACGATCCTGGTCCGATCGTGCCGGGGGGTGGAACGGCTCCTTTACCTCTGGCCGGGTCAGGGAAGAGAGTCTCCGGTTCTGAAAATTCAGTCGTGGATTATGTTTTGCTGGTGAAGAAAGAAAAGTTTTGGGGTCTGGTGGGGGGCGGAGGGGTAAAGAGGATAGTGGAAGAAAGAAGGTGGATGGTTGGTCTTCCTCTCTGATCTGGAAGGAATGATGACCGAGGAAGGATGTGCACCAGCGGCCAGATTATTGGGAGCCTCTTGGTGCTCTCTGTGCTGGAGATAGGGCTGGGGGTGTCCAGCGTGGCCGTGGGGGCGGTCAGCTTCAGCCTGGCCCTCCGAGAGCACAAGCCGCAGCTCGGAGACTCGTCCCCGGTATGGAGCGGGGTGTGTGTACGTTGAGCCATTTCACTCTCTCTTTACCTCTTTACGGTGATGGTCAGTGTGTTTGCGTTAGTCACTCCCTCCTGGGGAAGATAATCATAAATCTCCTCTGGCTTGTATGTAGGTTGATGTTGGCAGGCTATGCCTCTTTATGTTGTCCTTTTATTTATTAGTTGTTGCTTCCTTCCCCACCCCCACCCCCTTTCCTTGGCCTAAAGCCAAATTAAAGGGTTTGTTTAAAGTAGAGGATGGGATAGATTCCACTGGCTGAACCTGCAAAGGACTGCTTAGTGGTGTTGATTGAGGTGGGAGGGGGAGGTGACACCTGTCAAGGATGAATGCACTTAGTCTCCTGTTTCTTATTCAAGGGAAATCAAAGTGAGAATGTTACATCATTTTCTTGTAACAGGAACAAGCAAAGGTAGAGTTTGGATTTATTTCTACATAACAGTGCCCAAGGTACACTAAAGGTAACACTGGCAGATCGTGAGAAATATGGTATGAGTGTGAAGGAAGCATATGGGTACAGCTTATCCTATAAAACACTGCTCTTAATTTTCCTTTATTAGCTCTCTGATACTTTCACATCTGAAAACTCTTTTATAAAGTTTTAGGCTAAAAGTTAAACAACAAATGGTATGCTATGTAAAAGTATTCTAGTTGAAGAATAACTCAACTTAAAGAGTTAAATGTTCAGGGGGAAAAGTCATAATTTTCACTAAATCAGATGGCATTCTTAACAGGTTTCTTGATCATTTACTTTGCATGAATCTTGAAGAAAACTTAGAGACCCATTTATTCCACCCAGAATCAATAAATCAATGTTATTCCTAGTGTGACCCTAATTGTGGAAAACAGCTTTTCTTCTCCTTTAAGTTACATAGCTGCTATATTCTGGGTCTCTAGCTTGATCTTACTTTCCAAAATAATTTAATATGATATCATTCTATTGTTGATAATCAGTAGGTGTAAATAACAATCATGGCTTAATTACTTAGGATTTAAGTCACTGAGAAAAAAATGATATATTCACTCAAGAAAAATCATTCCCAGTTAATTCATTTTTAAAGGAAATGCTCACATTTTAAAAACTCATAATTGTGTTTTGAAAAAGTAGTTTTCATATTTTAAATTTTCAGGGTAGAGAAAATATTTTTAAATCTCAGAAAAGAAAAAGAAGAAAAGTGGTGTTGAGTTCTAATATTGATTTCCTCCAATAATCATTGTTTTGATTTTAGTACATTACTGCCTACGTCTACATGAATTTATCATATCATTTTTATCACTATATATACACTTTAACTTTAAATATGAAAGGCTAAATGACAAGTTTAAAATCTAATAATATTACATCTTGTTGTTCGTAGTGATTATTTTGATAATTATTATTATTACTATTACTGTATTACATAAACAGACGTACTTTAAACTCCTACCAAACAATTGTCATAATGAAGTGTAACAACATTTAAAACAAAAGGAGGGAATGAAGAAAATGTGATCTTTTGATGACTTATCAAAATATCACTTCTGTGAAGTAAAATGAATAAACTTAGATTATCTCTAAATAGTTTTAGAGTAATCAGTTTATCTTTAAGAATAAAAATATGGCTGCATTTGTTTGGCATCATGTAAAAAATAGTTAAAGGATTTTGTCTCTCTTCCCAGACTATTTACTATCATCTAGATAAATCAACATATGTGTGTATAGAATATGAAAATTTTGAATCAGCTCAGTGAAAAGCAAAATAGAACAGTCATATATATAGCCATTATCATAAAGGAATAATTTCATGGTAACTATTTTTGTTAGAGCAAACAAAATTCATGAGGGTTCTTCAAATGGTTTTAATTCTGTCTTGTTCAGTAAAGTTAAAAAAAATATATGGTATTGAATTAATGGGTTGGAACTAGACTCCTTAAACAGTCATTTTCATAAATGCAGTTAAAAGATCAACTTTGATGAAATAATCAATTTTGTGAAAATTGGTTAGCAAATTATAAGTTTGCTAAATCGATGTCTGACTTCTCAATTCTGTCAGCGATGAATTCATATAACCAGTATAAATATATGGAGGACTATATAGAGAGAGGGTTTACTATGTGTAAGGTACTTTACTTTTTAATACAAATATTATTAATATAAATCAGAATGGTTACTAGAGGAAACTATATGGCTGCATCATTAACTTTATCAGTAGTGAGAAATTAGAGTTTGACATCAGAAAGATACAGGGACAGATAAAGGGATGGTCAATTAAATATCCTCGGGAGAAGTATTATTTTCCCTTGATCTTCAGAGTTTATTGAGAATGTGATACTTAATGTATCTCAGTGTTAAGTAATGTATAATAATCATGATATCTGAACTCTACCTGGGTGCAAATCCCAGACCTGTCATTTACTATCTGGATGACTAACCTAAGTTTCATCATACACTGAAAAACAGGGTTGTTAGAAGGCATAAACGAAGTAATGCTGTAAGTAAAAGTTCTGGCATGTAGTAAGTACTGAATAAATGGGAAAAACCAATAATGGATGTTCACACTGGCAGTGAAGAGTGTGAGAAAGCCCAAGGCAATACATATATTTCCTCATATTTGATGATGATGATGATGATGATGATGATGATAATGCCACGTATTCTTCCCAAAGAGATTCCAAGGAGATACAAAGGAGACTAGATAGAAATTTATTCATCTCTTTGGTATTTTATGAATTGGAAATCTGTTATTTATGAATACTAAATGGGATTTCATACTAATTAACTTATCAGGATAGTCATGGTATGTTATCTGTGTGTTTTGATTGGTGCCATGAAGTGTCTTTCAGTACCTTAATGTCATAATTATAAGATTTCTGAATTAAATTTTACAGTCAATGGAAATTAGAACTATACTATGAAGGGGAAATTTCATATATATTAGTCCCCAAATTATAAACACTCTATGTGGGCCAAATGGACTAAGCTTTAATTCAACTATTTTTCTTATTTAGACCCAGACATACATTTTTTTAAAGGTGACTTAACAATAAAGTAATACTAAGCTAATGGAACTCAAAATCCATGAGAGAGAAGCTTATACAGATTTTTTCCCCAGTTACTGTCTTCATAATCAAGGAAGGATTGCTTCCTGAGATCAGTGTAAAGAATGTAGGTAATTAAAAGGAAAAAAAAATAATTTAACTATAACTTTACAGATAAAGTTAGAAAGTACAAAATTCTTCTTCTTGAATCTAGATTATTATAGATGATATAGTCACCTCATTAAAAGCATAAAAGAAGACATTACTGTTCAATAACACTGAATGAAACATGGAGTAAACTGCTTTGGAAAAGACGTAGTCCTGTGAAAATTTATTGATGGGAAAGATGTATAGGCTGGGAATTAAAAAGATTGGGCTGTGTCTCCAAGTTACTGCATGAAAATCAATTTTCTAAGTTTCCAGTACATGTCATGGAATGACTAAATTTAGTAATACACAGTTTCCTGGATCCAAGAGAATTTTATTTCATTGCTCTAGGATGGCAATTGGAAATCTAGAGTCAGATGATAATGACCAGAGCAACAGCTAATGCTGAGGTGTACTTGTTATATACCAACCAAAATTCCATCCATCCATATCCAATATTCAATCCATAAATTTAGTGTAACTGAAAGAATTTTTCTAAGTCTTGTGTTCCTTTTCAAGTGTTCAAGATTTTCCTTATTTAAATCATAAACGTTGAGTGAGTTTTGTTGCTAATTTTTCCAGCACATATTTGATTTGTACATCACAACATTATCTGCTTTATAAAGCTGGTACTTTGGATGAGTGAAATTTATAACATAAGCAGGACTGTTATGTAGACTTTTGATTCCTATGGCAACAAAGTTAACCAACAGTAGGGTTGTATTGAAATTCACTTACTATAATTCATATCCATATAATAGCAACACAAACGAGGTGCTGTACATAAGTGATAGTGCTCCAAATTATTGATTTTAATATTTAAATTTGTCCAATTAATTTAATGAACAAACAAAACTATAAAGTGAAAAATGCTTCAGTTACTTCAAATATACATAATTTGAAGTTAATATGTCTCTGACATGAAAATATACCATTTTTCTCTCAGGTCTAAACATATAAGGGATTCATAGCTTTTAGCAAAAGGTGAAAACACTGCCCCTAGTCTTATAAAAACTTGCAAATGTACATTTGTCTCATTTTAAATTAATTTTAGGTATGCAGGTAATTCATAAATGAATTCTTTCAGGTGTTTCTTTTAAAGGCTCAAAACTGAAGTTCTTTTCTCTACCACCTCATCAAAATCAGCCACTGAAACAGTGTGTGATCTCGTAGACATTTCTCCATACACAAATATTATTGTTTGAGCATATAGACCAGTTTTATCAAATCCCTGGATATAATGAAGTCCATTCATAGATTCTTTAGAGCTCAGGTAAAGCAGGTAAAGCGTATCTTCAATACATGACTCACAATCTCATTATTAAGCTCTACTTGTTATCTGCCAGGGTTAGGCATTTAGATAATTGGCAGTTAAAGAAGCTCAACTACTGGGGAATGTAGCTATTATTCAATAAATCAAATCGTGTTAATGGAAGCATGAAAATAATGTCCACTTATGGTGTTGATTAATAATGTTATAATAGAGAAGTGGTGACTCTTGCACTATCTGATGAGACTTTTTTGGGCTGTTTGTTGGAATTTCTATCCAGACCCATGACCAGTTCTGCTTGGGGATTTGGACATTATCCAAGGATATTACTGGTCTTGAAGACTTTGTCATAGACACATTAGGGAATAAGTGATAATAATTACATCATCACCTATTTGTTGACAATTACTTGATATAAATATCTTCATTTGGATGCTTTTGCCTAAAATGTTCAAGCTGGCTCTCTGGATTGGCCTAATAATTAGTAAGGTCATCCAGTATGTGCTTCTGTTATGGCTAAACAATTTAATTTATTTTTTATGTTCAC